TGTCATTCTGTGTTGATGACAAAGGAAAGCTGAATGATATTTGCTGGGGCAAACTCTTCTCTAACTTTGCAATGGGGATTTTTATTTAGTGATAGCCTTTAGCACATGTTACCCAAGGCCAGACTTCTGTTTGTTTCTACTTGAATTCAGGCCCCCAAACTCCTTAACTCCCTAAAGATGGCAGGCCCCTTGAATAGAAAATCAGAGGGAGGGGCTATTAACCAGTGAGAGAAGCTGGAATAGTTTCTGTGGATAGAATAGGGAACAGTCTTGGGGTCCCATTAAGCCAAATATCAGGTGATATTTCCCAATAAGGGCCAAGAACCAGGTAGAAACGCCAAACCAGAAAATAACTGAAAGAAGGCATTTATATGAAGGCCAAACCAGTGGTGCAGGATTGTGGCGAGATGAAGAGAGGCTGGTAATTCAGAGGGCCTTGATTCAAGGGTATGTCTTAGAGCCTTTCTGTGGGTGGCACACAGAAAGTTGTTTCTGGATATTTTCACAGGCGTGGGTACGGACTCCTCTGGATATTCATGAAGAGCAATGTTTCCCAAACATAATGTGCACACACTTGACTTGGGGATTTTGTTACTATTCACCGATTCGGTGGGTCTAAGGTAAGACCAGTGGTTTTGTTGTTCTAACAAGTTCACAGGTGATGCCAGTGCTGCTGGTTTGAGGACGGTGGTACCAGCAGTAAGAATAGAGAGCACTTCCAGCAGCCAGGGGCAGATGCTCAATGTAGGAGCTGCCCCCTGGGGGTCAGTGTGCTCCCACAGCCAACCTCCCCTGGTCCCTCCCCCTGCCGGCCAACCTCCGGCAGCCCCTCTCCCTGGCCGGTCCCTCCCCGCAGCTGGCCGGCCAACCTCCAGCAATGTCTTCCCTCGTCCCTCTCCCAGGCCAGCAGGCCCTGATCAGCCCAGCCCTAGGCCCCAATCAGCCCTGATCGCTGGCCAGGCCTAGGGACCCCACCCATGCACGAATTTGTGCACTGGGCCTCTGTAATAATAATAATAATAATAATAATAATAATAGCAACTGCTTACATAGGTCTTGCTCTGTGCCAGGCACCGTTCATTCTCAGTGTCATACATACATCCACTCATTCAAACCTCACACCAGCCCTTTCAAGTGGGTACCATTTTTATGTCCATTTTCAGATGAGGAAATAGAGGGGCATGAGGAAGAAGGTGGAGAAGAGAGAGGGGTCTGGGTGGAGAATTTCTAAGAGGCAAATATCACTTCCTAAAGATGAACTTTCTTGCTAACAGTCGTCTTCCTTCATTCCGCGCCACCCCCTAGTGGTCAGCGCACGTCATAGCGAGCGATCGAACTCCCCGTCTCCCAGGGGAACTTCCGGGGAGGGGACAATTTGCATATTCAGCATTTATACATATAGATGTCCAAAAGAGGCAAATCCATAGAGACAGAACGTAGGTTAGTGGTTGCCAAGGGCTGGGGGGAAATAGGAAAGGGGAGTGACTGCTAATGGGCACAAGGTTTCATTTGAAGGTGGTGAAGATGTTCTAAAATCGATTGTGGTGTTGGTTACACAACTTTGTGAATATGCCAAAAGCCAGTGAGTCAGTGAGTTTTGAGAGAGAAAAAAAAACCAAAGAATTATACGGATTCTAGGTTATGTGAATGATAACATCTCAAATTTCAAAGCCTGTGCATTTCAAGTTTCAGGGTCCGTAAGTAAAATGTTACTGGAACCCAGCCAGCTTCTTTACACATTGCCTGTGGCTGTCGTGGCAAAAGTGAAGTAGGTGCAACAGAGACGGTGCGGCCGGTAACGCCGGAAATTTTTATTATCTGGCTCCTCTACAGAAAAACGTCCCTGACCCCGAAACTAGGATGCCTAATGGTCCGGTGTCCACCGACGCATCCCTGGTCAGTCCCCCTTTGCTCCCTCTCCTTAGGCCACAAGATGCCTCATTCTTCCTTGGACACATCAAGCTCACTTCTGCCTCAGAACCTTTGCACTCGCTATTCTCTCCCCCGATTTCTCTCCCCTGCCCCTGTCACTTCATTGAACTGTCTTCTTCCTTATCACTTTCTTATTTTTTAAAATACATTTTTATTGATTTCAGAGAGGAAGGGAGAGGGAGAGAGAGAAACATCAATGAGGAGAGAGAATCATTGATTGGCTGCCCCCTGCATACCCCCCACTGGAACCAGGGCATGTGCCCTTGACTGGAATCGAACCTGCAACCCTTCAGTCCACAGGCTGACGCTCTATCCACTGAGCCGAGCCAGCCAGGGCCTTACCACTTTTTTAGAAAGGTCTTTTATGATCTCCCAGTTTAAAAAAACAAACAAAATTGCTCTCGCAGCCCTAACCGGCTGGGCTCAGTGGATAGCGCATTGGCCTGTGGACTGAAGGGTCCCAGGTTTGATTCCAGTCAAGGGCACATGCCCGAGTTGCAGTCTTGATCCCCAATGTGGGGGCGTGCAGGAGGCAGCCGATCCATGATTCTCTCTCAGCATTGATGTTTCTATCTCTCTCTCCCTCTCCCTTCCTCTCTGAAATTATTTTTAAAAAAATTAAAAAAGGGGGGGATGTATAAGAAATATGCCAGATGCTACTTTTAAGCAAAAAAGAAGGGTACAGCCCGGCCTGTGTGGCTCAGTGATTGAGCATCGACCTGTAAACCAGAAGGTCATGGTTTGATTCCCAGTTAGGACACATGCCCAGGGTTGTGGGCTTGATCCCCAGGGTGGGGCGTGCAGGAGGCAGCCGATCGAGGATTCTCTCCCATCATTGATGCTTTATCTACCTTTCTCTCCCTCTCCCTTCCTCTATGAAATCAATAAAAATATGTATTTTTTAAAAAGAAGGGTACATTAGGACACATGTATGCACATGTTTTTTGTGGAGACAGGGAAAAGGTAAACAAACGCAGCTGACGACCTGCAGGGGGCAGGTGAGAGCAGGAAGGAAGCGAAAGGGAGGAAGTGACACCCCTTTGAACTTGGAGCTTCAGATCGAGTGGCCAATGTTTTTTGTGTCCACAAGACAAATTCAACAAGGATGGGGAAAACGAACATCGAGCATGAACACACATAAGCAAAACCGACTGCACATCTAGTGAGTCCAACCACAGGGGGGGAAAGCAGTGATCCAATAACGTGAATAGAGAGAGAGCTTTGATTCTACATCTCCGTCCAAAGACAGGACCGCCTGCAAAGAAATCGCGAACCTCACGTAACAGTTTCTTATTGGGAGTGGTCTAGGGAAGTGGTCGGCAAACCGCGGCTCGCGAGCCACATGCGGCTCTTTGGCCCCTTGAGTGTGGCTCTTCCACAAAATACCATGTGCAGGGGCACACGTACGGTGGGATGGAAACTTCGTGGCCCATGAGCAGAAGTCGGTTTTCGGCCTGGGCGGGTCGATTTTGAAGAAGTGGCGGGTGGACATGTAGAGAGGATGAACGAAAGGAGATGGACGAAACACCAGAGTGGGGCATGCAGGAGGCAGCCGATCCATGGTTCTCTCTCATCATGGATGTTTCTGTCTCTCTCCCTCTCCCTTCCTCTCTGAAATCAATTTTAAAAAATCAATGGGGAAAATATCCTTGAGTGAGGATTAACAACATCAACAAAAAAGTAATTCTTTGCAGAGTTAGAAAACTCCAGTTGCAACCTTCGGAATGATAGGAATTCCCTCCCTTGCCAAGGAGCCTGCCCCACACCCACTCCACCTGGGGCGGGGAGCTGGCATCACGAGTAACACGCGTCTGACCCCATGACCGCGGCCCCGCAGCGCTACGGTTCGGAAATTATTCGGTGCCCAGTGCAGGGTTGAGCAAGTGTGTAAATACATTGGTGTGCGGGGAGCTAGCGTTCTTTGCTTTCTCCGAAAGAAAGGAGATACACCTCAGAAGGGGGTACAGCAAGGGAGACCCCTTGGGGGTCCAGGTGCCGTCTAGGCTCCTATTTTACAAACAGACACCCTTTCCCAGCTTTGTGTCCTGGCGGATTCCAGAAGCAGCGACACCTGGGCAGCTATGAGCGCACCTAACACCCGGATTTTGGTCTCTACTATCACCCTCCACTCTGTAAGGACAGAGGGCTCCCCGAAGAAATCGCTAATTTGAAGCCCATGGAAGTGACATCAAAGTGTACTCAGGTCACAGAGTAGGAAAGTGCTAAAAAAAAAGGAAAAAGAAAGAAAAGAAAGAAGAAAGAAAAGGAGGGGTATGTGCCAAATAAGAACACAGCAACTAATCTGATACCCCAACTGGGGACGATTTGGGCATTAAAATAAATAATAAAGGTAATGGTGTCCCGGCTGGAGTGCTCGGTGGTTAGGGCATCAGCCCAAGCACCAAAGGGCCGAGGGTTCCATCCCTGGTCAGGCACGTACCTACGTTGCAGGTTCGATCCCCAGCCCCAGGTGAGGCACCTGAGGGAGGCTACCAATCGATGTGTCTCTCT